AGAAGATACTGGCTCTCATTTGTTTAAGCTAACACAAATCTCCCCTGCCTCAACAATGGTCTTGTCAAAAGTATTCCGTATACAAGTTCATTGAAGTGCCTGATGTATATAGTCCACTGGGCATTATAAGGGAACATTTAGGGGATTTTTTTGGCATATATTTCAATATTTTACTACTGTATATAGTTGCCACTGGAGTATTTGCATTAATGAATTTTATGCCATTGAATTCACTGTGTCTTATTCACAGAAAGATGAGCCAGATGCTTTCAAAGAATTGGGCACAGGAAATAGAATTGCTACATGGCTGTTTTATGTAAGTATTGTGGCTAAAATTTTTTTATTTTAGTTTGGGGTTTGATCACATAACTCATTTAGCATCTTGGCATCCTAAAGTTTTTACAACGGAGTAGAGAGAGTTAAGAATTTTCTTGTATTTGCAACTTTTTCAGAGTATAATATAGATGTTCATTATAGAAACTTTTGAAAAAATCTGAAGAAGAAAATTAAAATTATTGATAATTCTACTACTTGGAGATAACCATTAATATTTTGAAACATGGACTGTTTAATTGTATGTATGTATATAAGAATCTCTGTATAGTTTATATGAATTTCTGTATATATACACACATTATTTTAGTAAATTTTTCTGAACTAAATGTTTATTAAAGTATATCACTTATCAGAAGAGCGAACAAATCATAAGTATATAACTTGGTTGATTTTCACAATGTAAACACATCTGATTTATAATCAGTACTCAGATTAAGAAATAGCACAACACCCCAGAGTCCAATTAAAGAAAACCATTCGCATTTTGTTGAAAATTTCAAAACAGTATTATCTTAATTTTAAAAATTGTATATTCATAAATACAGAAAAAGTTATATTTTGATCATATTTTTTCCAGTTATTTATTCCTACATAACAAATCACCACAAAACTCAATAGTTCAAAATAACAATCTTAAATTATTTCTCATAGTTGCAGGGTTGACTGGGCTAAACTGGTTCCTGCTCCAGATTTGTCATCCATCTGCAGTCAGATGTCTGGCCCTAGGGTCATCTTAAAGGCTGAAATTGAGGCTGGCTGTTGTCCAGAATACCTAAATTATGGCCAATCCATGAGGCCTTCGTTTCCTTATAGCATGGTGACTGGTTTGCAAGAGCAAGCATCCCAAAAGAACAATGCAAAAGTACATGGCATTTTTATGACCTACCCTCAGAAGTCATAGATACCATTTCTGCTATATTCTATTACAGCAGTTACAAACTGCCCATCTTTGGGGAAGGGCATGTAGACCCTACCACTGAGACAAATGTCAGTGTCATGTGAAAACAGCATCTATGATGGGGCATATTGGGATGTATTATATGTGTATTTGGAAACTACAGTCTACCATAATATTACAGCTGCAGTTGACTTTAAAAAGGTGTATTTTATATCTAGACTTAATTTTGCTTATTTCATTGATTCCTTACTTCATTACTCCCATTTGAATTGTATAAAACTATCTCTTTTTGCTGTCTGTAGTATCTTACTCCCTACCATTGTCTCTTTACTCAGGCTTTTCCTCTCCCTGCCTCCTCTCATTTATCTTTTCTCTGTTCCTCTATCCTTCCTTCCCTTTCCCCCTTCTTGGTATCTATCCCTTCCTGTCTCCAACCTACCTTCTCACCCTGCCTACCACCTTCCTTCCTTATTACTCTCTCTTCTTCCTTCTCCATTTGCCTCCCTCTCACAACTCTATCTTAATTTCCAAAAGAATGTAAAGTACATTACAAACATTCGTGTAAAATAAAAATGAAAGAAATATCACAAAGGGAAAACCAGGAGAGAAGTTGGTACAGTATACAAATTGATGCTGTGAAGGCTTGTGTGTTCTCTAGAGGTGAGGTCTCCATAGAGGTTGTCCCAATTTGTACCCCACCTGTAAGTGTAATATGTTTGTGAGATACGTTTGTCAGACTTGTGGATCTGTACATCTTTTCACTTACCAGATTGACAGTGCGGCTTTCATTTGCATTTGTCTTATTAGAGAACTTGAGCATCTTTTCAGATGTTTAAGAACCACTAGTGTTTCCTTTGTTTCTGCATTCCTGTCTTTTTGTTTCTCCTCATATTTCTTTGCTTTGTGAATGTTAATGCTATATTATTTGGTCCACTATCCACATATGTTAGATTATTTGGTTATTAGATAATGTTCAGTTATTTAATATTTTCCTCTTAATACATACATCCTTCTGTTTTCCTAAAATAGTTATATAGCATTTTTTGGTTAGTATTCATTCTTTCCAATATCTAAATAGTATTGCAAAGTGGAATATAGTATATTATGTAGTATTATATAAACATATAATATGTAGTGTATATTATATACTGTGTGCTCCATTTATAAAAGTCATGCACAACTTTTAAATGTCTCCAAAGTGAATTTTGTCATTGCTTCAAAGTTCCTAACTCTTATTAATTACATATTTATCACTATAAAATACCCTCATCTCACTTAATGCTTTTCACCTTGATTTAAACTCTCTCATATTAAGATCATGATCCAAAAAAAAAAAAAA